TAATGTGAAATTTTGCTAATTAAATATATACAAAGTTTTAGAAGATCATTAGCTTACAACATATATTTATAGGGTTCCGTAGATCAAAAGGAAATACGGAACCGTTATAGGATCACTCTGTTGTCCGTCCGTCCGTCTGTCAAGACCGTTTTTCTCAGGAACGCGCGTTTCTACTGTCCCTTGCAGCTGTAAAAAAATCAAACTTCTAAGCCAAAGCAATCAAAAGATACAGCCGTTTATGCCGCAAATTTTCGAAACTCAAGGGAATCAAAACCTACAGGGTAATTCCCGTGAACTTAGAATTTTGAAATTTGGTACGAAGTAACGTCTTATAGTACAGATAAAGGAAAAATTGCGAAAACCGTAAATTTTTAGTTACATCATTTAATAAAAAATATTTTTGAAAATTCATGTTTGTACGGAACCCTCGGTGCGCGAGTCCGACTCGCACTTGGCCGGTTTTTTTATTTTAAGCATTTAACTGCTAGATGTTTAAATCTAAAGAAATTTTAACTAGAAAAACTAGAATCCTGTCTGACACTGATATGGACTGGAATTTTTCTAGTAAAATTTTCTATAGATCATAGGCTAAGGATCTACCCATTGTACACTGGATTCAGTATTCTGTGTAGTTTTTTTATTTAATTATCTATTTGATTTTTTTAATTTTTAGTGATGATTTGAGAATTGATTTCTATTTTTTATTTCAGAAAATCGCATGACTGTATCGAAAATTATTAGAAAGAGAAGAGTTTTTTCTGAAGTAGAAAAAATGTTACACAAGAAGCTACTACAAATTGGTGTAAAATTAAGTAAATGCCGCAGCAAAAATAAGAAACAGGCAATTAAGATAAAGGCAATGCAAAATATTGTCTCACACCCGCATCTTTTAAGTGCTTTAGACAGCTGGCCAAGCACAGCAAGAATATTGACAACTATGCAGTTTAGAGAACAGAAGAAAAATGTAAAAGGAAGGCGCTTTAGCCTTAAAGAAAAAAATTTGGCACTGTCAATTTTCAAACAGAGCCCAAAAGGCTACAGATTTTTCAGGAAGATATTTATCTTACCTTCACCTCAAACTTTGACAAAACTGATAAGTATGGCTGATATTAAACCAGGTGTAAATAAACGTGTAATGACCCAAATAAAAAAGGCAACACAAAATATGAAAATAGAAGATCGACTTTGCCTTGTCATCTATGATGAAATGGCATTGAAAGCTCACGTAAGCTATAGTGAAAGGAAAGATAGAGTGACTGGTTTTGTGACTGATGGGAAAGCAGTTCAACCAGAATTTGCCGATCATGCTCAAGTTTTTATGATTAGGGGTTTGATAAAAAATTATAAGGAGCCTGTTAGCTACACTTTTTCCCAAGCTGCCACAAAAGGACCAGAGTTGGCAGTACAATTAAAAGAGGTTATATGTAATCTGCAAGAGGCTGGTCTAATAGTTGTTGCAACAGTTTGTGACCAAGGAACAAATAATATGCACTGCATTAAACTTTTGATGCAAGAAACTCGTGCTACTTTATTGAGGAAAGGAGAAGAACAGAAAGGAAACTTTTTTTTAGTGAATGACCAAGAAGTGATACCATTGTATGATCCACCTCACCTAATAAAATGTATTAGAAATAATTTAATCACCAAGGACCTTAAATGGGCAACAAAAACTGCCAAGTGGTCCCACATTATGGAACTTCATAAAGAGAATCCTGGATACCGGGGTATACGTTTGGTACCTAAATTGACAGATTTTCATTGTATCCCAAATAAAATCCCAAGGCAAAAAGTTAAATATGCAACACAACTCTTTAGCCAAACTGTTGCTACTAATATGGGATATCTTGCAGGTAAATAAACACAATGTATTGTTATAAATATAGCATTATTTAAGCAATGTTAAGCACCACATTATTGTTTAAAATAAGAGTGAATGTTGTAAAAAGCACATGCTTTTTAATAATACAAATTCTGCATTTTGACTAATGTAGTAATATTGTCATCTTGTCTAATGTCAGAATATATTAATTTGTTAATAATTTTCTTGTCATGTAACTACCTCTTATCCCAGTTGAAAACTTTTATATAAATAAATAGTGCCTTAATACCTGTAATAATTCTTAAACTTAACTTCTTTTAACAATCACTTTTTCAATTACAGAAAAAGGTATTCTCCAACCGGAATCGAAAGATACTGCAGACGCAATAATTTTTTTCGACAAACTCTTCGACTCCGTTAATGGTAGTTACGGGAAAAGAAAAAAGTTTGGAAAGCCACTTCTAGGACCAGCGACGCAAACGTCCCTGCACCAAAAAGTGTGGAATGAATCGAAAAATATTATTAAATCTATGCAATTTATTAATACGAGAACACAAAAAGTTGAATATGTACCAACCCTTAAAAACTGGGTGTGGACATTAGAGGGCATACAATTATTATTAAAAAAAGTAAGTGTATACGGCGTTAATTCTATTTGGATGCGACATCTAAATCAGGACCCAATAGAAAATTTCTTTGGGTCCATTAGAAGCCATGGCTGTCAAAACAATCATCCTTCTGCGGAACATTTTGAAGCAGCATTTACAACTTTATTGGTAAATAGCCTCTCTAGTGTCCATGCTCCAGGAGCAAACTGTGAGAAAGACAGTTGTTATAATATGTTAAATGATATCCTCATCACTGAAAGTGGCTGCAAAGAAAAAGAGCATTGTGAATTTGATAATATCCCAGATATCACTATTACACCCCTTGAAGAAAAAGATGATCCCCGACAAATTGGCGCATTACAATATGTGGCTGGTTATTTTTTAAAAAACGCAAAATAAAAGGTTTTCAAGGGGTGTAATCTGTGCAAAACTGACTTGGAAGCTCAAGGTGATGTTGAGTACATAAAATATAGGGAGTATGCAAATAAAAAATGGCTTTGCAGTCCCAGTCAACCTCTCTTGTACTGCGTTTCAAATTTACAAGACATAAATTATGCTATATTAAAACAAAATTTTGAAAAAAAACATATAGGCCAACTACTAAAAACAATGATTTTGATGTTTGTAAATTTTGATTTTATCACATGCGAGCTTCATAAAGATGATGTCATAAATTATTTAATAAAAATTTTTATTAGATTCCTTATCTTTAATTATTGTAAAGAAATAAATAAAATTTTAGCTAACAAGAGAGAGGGTGATGATGATGAAGATATCTTTAAAGTTAAGGCTAGAAAATATTTTCTAAAATGTTTTAAACGAAAGCGTTCAATAAAATTATAATTTTGCTATTAAGCTGCCGTTTTAATTTTATGTCCCTAATAACCTCGACCGCTGATATTTATTTCAAATTTGACTGATCCGTTTAATTTCAGTCTTAGATTTGAAATAAAACATCAGCGTTTAAAAAGCGTATTCCGCATTATGCATCTATATAACCTTTAAATCTAAAGCTAGTAGATCTAAAACTCCTCCATAGATGGCACCACTTTCCTCTTTTGATAGTGGAGATAACTCTCTATTCCCTATATAATTATACTCTATGCCGCAGACCGAGTGAGGGCAAAATATATATTATAGTATAGCTCCCGTCTGTGGTAGTTAGCTATAATATAATATATATTTCGATATATTATAGCTACGTCTGTGACGGGCTTTAACAAGTTAAGAGGTGGTTCTGCGTGCACGCACTACAAATGACTGACAAGCTCGCCGACAAATCTATGTAAGCACACACACGTACGGATTTGTACGGCGCGGCTGGGGTGCGGCGCGGCGCTCGCGTCTCTCGACGGCGAGCGCCGCGCCGAGCCGCGAGCCGCGCTCACCAATACATTCACACGCGGATTTGTCCGCGGACTTGTCGCCAGCGACGAATCCGGCGGATTGGCGCGCCTGTGAATGGTAGGCTTAAAACACACTCTTTGGTTATGACCATAAAAGGATCTTACAGGCTTCGTCTCATGCGATCATCCCCTGAGAAGGGAATGCTAATTTTTTATACGTATCCCCGTAATATAGGCACTTCTAAATATGAAAGTAAAGGTCGTTAATAAAAATACCCAACTAGGCTTTCACCAAATTATACCCCTGGTTGCCAAACTTTGTAAACTGCTCTTTGATGGAGGTTCAATTTATGTCGTTGTGATTTTAATAACTTGAGTAATTAAACCTTACTCTACAATAACAAATTTTATTGAAATCTAGTAGACCCACTCATAGGGCAGCATAATGCCCCAGCAATTGGGGAAAGACATTTAATAGACTGATGATTGTTGTTGGAGTACACTGGACTGGACCACAATTTTAATTATTCAACAAATTCCAATTCGTGTCATAATACCTACCAAGATTGAAGTATCACATATCCACCTCAGACCAAATTATTTGGTCTGAGATATCCACAAGATGTTTCAAATTGCATTTGAAAATTTCAACAAACTCAGGTACTTTATGAAAAGTTATGGAAGACTAGTGAAGAGACAAGAAAATCTTAAAACTATAGTATTGTTGAACACAACATTGCTAGTAGGTTCCAATTAACAGCAATCAGCCAACACAAAACAGTATAGAATTTTATCTATGTCAAATTTATAAGTTTCATGATTTAAACTTTAAGAAATAGAGGGCTATCACTATTAACACAAAAAGTATAAGTTGATGATAAAACTTATTTGTAAAACACTGCAGAATAGTTATCTAATAAAGTAGGTCCTTAATTATTTATAGTTACATTGAACATTATTAGCATAATATTTACCTGTTAATCTTTACTAAAAATATACAGAGGACAAACTGTACATACTATAAATATTCTCACATTTTTCTATTAAATAAACATATTATGAAGTTTCTATTGCTCTAATTACAGATTTTTTTTATTAAAACAAAATAAAACTGAAGTTAAATTTAGTTTTTAAACGCAATAATCATAATTGTTGATGTATGTGAAAATTAAATAAAACCACATAGTTTTTGAACATTTTTTTACTGATACCTGTCTTACTTAGAAATTAACGGTTGGACTTGGCCACACGTTCCAACTCATCCTTCTTCTTAATAGCATAAGAATTAGAAGATCCTTTAGCTGCATTGATGAGCTCATCAGCAACGCACTCAGCAATGGTCTTGATATTCCTGAATGCCGCTTCACGTGCTCCCGTGCACAACAACCAGATAGCCTGGTTTACACGTCGCAGTGGCGACACATCGACAGCCTGACGACGAACAGTACCAGCACGTCCAATTCTGGTAGAGTCTTCACGAGGCCCAGAGTTGATAATGGCAGTCACAAGGACTTGTAGGGGATTCTCGCCAGTCAAAAGGTGGATTATTTCAAATGCATGTTTAACAATACGCACCGCCATCAATTTCTTTCCGTTATTACGGCCGTGCATCATCAGCGAGTTGGTAAGACGCTCGACAATAGGGCATTGAGCTTTACGGAATCGCTTGTGGGCATATCTACCAGCAGAGTGTGGTAAATATTTTGCATGTTTCTCCTTAACCGCGATGTAATCTTGGAGGGACATATCAGAAACCTGGACATCGTAACAGCTCCACCTCCCAAAAAGTTTGATTTCTGGAATGTCTGCTGAGATTGGCAGTGGCATGCCCTCCACAGCCATGCCGCCCGCTTCCACACTATCGTTCCAATTTTCTTCAGCCATTATGCCTAAAATGACAATTAAACAGTATTGTTTACTTTAAATACACTAAACAAAGCATTATCGTTAAAAAAACACGTGAAATACACACCTTTCTATTACGAAATAGAAATTATAACCTCGTGTTGTCAAAAGAACACGGGAAAAAGGAAGTCGAGTTTAGTTGTCGAAGGTTAGGTAGGTTGGCAACAAAATGTTGCTATATGAAAAAAACATCCAAGCTTATATCTCTATGGTTAATATTAGTATCGATTCTGTTCTGGTATTTAAAAGTTCTCTTAATTTGAATTAAAAAAACGGTTTTTCTATACTTAAAACTAAATTTAAAATCAGCCTCTCCTTTTTATTCTGTATAGAGAATGACAGGGATACGCTTTTGTCAAATTTAAGTTAAGGAGAATTGGAGAATCATGCCAGAATCGACACCAGTAAATCCATGTCTTTTTCTATACAGAATAATAAGGAAAGACTAACAATTTAAGTTTTAAGTTTAGATAAAATACCAGGATGTAACATGAGCACCACAATTTACACTATATCACGTTTTTTAACGCGTGTAACTGTTAAACTCCATAGTAATTACACAATTGTTCGTGAAAAAACATGATTAAATCATTTCGCGGTGCTCGTCAGAATCGAAATCAAATGCAACTTGGGTAAATAAATTTATTTGGCTCTTATTTATGAAATGCAAGCAAAGAAATAACTATCGTACAACTTACTCCGGTTATGAAATCGGTGACAACTAATTGTAGAAATTAGTTAAAACTTGATAAACGAGGTCATTTAACTAATACATCCAATGCATGTCCTAATATTGATTTTTTTCAGGATCGATGAATTGATTGATATTTATCCCTACCTGAACTTTGACATAGCCCCCTTAGAAGTCTGTGGTATAATCACTGCTGAGCAAAGCAAATTAGGCATCTATGGTTTACTGTATATAATCCAATCAGTCTGTGCATTCGGTTTTTTGAGGGAAGGAAAGGAATTTGTCAAGAATTTATCCCCGAAAAGTAAAGGCTAAAAAAGTGTTATTTCTTGTGTACTTGTGACTTTAGGGGTTTCGGCGTCATTTTCTGATACCTTTACGGTGCTAGGAATTCTAATCTTGTCATTTTTAAGGTTATTAGAAAGTGGTCAAAGTTCGCTATGTCGGCACTACGAAAGAATGTAAACTTTAAACTCTTCACTGTTAACTCGTCTCAGCGCTATCCTCAACTTAGTTTGCGAAGAAACTTAAACCTTCAGGAATACCACAGTAAGGATCTTCTAAGGAAACATCAAGTTACTGTTCAAGATTTTCGGGTTTTGGACACAAGTCTGGATAAGAAACCTCTTTCGGATTTTAAGGCTAATGAATACGTAGTAAAAGCACAAATTCTAGCTGGAGGTAGAGGCAAAGGACACTTTGATAATGGATTCAAAGGAGGTGTGCACCTTACCAAAGATACTAATGAAATAATGAAATTAGCTCGAAGTATGATTGGCCACAAATTGATAACCAAACAAACACCAAAAGAAGGTGTCCAAGTTGATAAAGTAATGGTAGCAGAAAGTGTTAATATAAAAAGGGAGACCTATTTTAGTATTGTTATGGAAAGGAGTTACAATGGTGCTGCTTTGGTTGCATCGCCAGCTGGAGGTATGGATATTGAAACAGTTGCCGAGGAGACACCGCATCTCATGAAGATTGTTCCCATTGACATTTACGAGGGAGTATCTGACAAAACTGCCAATGAAATAGCAGAGTTCCTAGAATTCAAAGGTGACCTGAAGCAAAAGTGTGCAGATGAAATTAAGAAACTATGGCAATTATTCTTAAAGGTAATAATCAAAATAGTAAAAAATACATTTTTAATATTGCAACTTTTTAAATATACTTGTAATAGATGCCATCTTTGTTAGTAAAAATATTTTTTAGGTAGATGCTACACAACTTGAAATAAACCCTCTAGTAGAGACTGATGATGGAAGAGTTGTAGCAGTTGATGCTAAAATTAATTTTGATGATAATGCAGAATTCAGGCAGCCAGAAATTTTTGCTTTGGATGATGTCACTGAAAGTGATCCACGAGAGGTATGTAAAGATTTTGTCTCTGCATATACTTTTTTTGTCTGTGTCTTTTTCCATAGTAGAAACAATATTAAGATGAGAACACATGTTCTCAGGAATGAGGAAATGATATTGATAAAAAGAAAATATTTCTCAAACAAGCTTGAAAATTATGTTTATCGACCATCCAAGTTGAGACAGACATTTATTATATGACAGTTAATTATGTACTTACTGCATACATGATAATATTTGTCCTATCAAGTTCACAGGTTACCTTTCCTATCAAGAAAATTATAGTATTTAAACTTAAAACAATATAGGTACAATTTAGTAATTGATTGATTTATATACTTTACATTTTCTTTTCAGCTTTAAAATCACTTGTAAATATAATATTTAATGAAGGATTTTATCATTTATTTAAAATACTTATATGTGATATAGTGTGAAACTTACATAGCTTCACAGTTTATCACAAGCAATATTGGCAGAGATACTAAGAAAACAGAAATATATGGTACTATAAATAAATAATCCTATGTAAGCTTCACATAACAATAAATGGTAAAATATTACATCATGTATGTGCCCTGAACCTCTTTGCTTATATTGGCAAACTTTATACTAACATCATTGCACTCTAAGCTTTAATTGCTAGATGTTTAAATCTAAAGAAGCATTTACTAGAAAAATCGAAAATTCGGAAATATTTTTGGTCTGTGTGGAAATTTTTCAAGTAAAACTTTAATGAATGCTGGACTAGGCAGTGAGATACCTCAATATATTGCTATTGCAAAGAAATTGAAAGTTTTAACTTTTATCTTACTTAAAATTATTTGTTACCATTGTGTGAAGCTATGGTGATTGTGTAACACAAAAAAACTATCCCTCAATACATTTTAGAGAGAGGCAGCATCACAAAATCTGGTATACATTGATATGGATGGCAGTATAGGATGTATGGCCAATGGTGCTGGCCTTGGAATGGCCACTTTGGACTTAGTCAACTTGAATGGTGGAAAACCAGCAAATTTCTTGGATCTTGGTGGTGGAGTTGGTCCTTCACAAGTTGCGACTGCATTGAGAATCTTGGAATCTGATCCCAAAGTCAAAGCTATTTTTATAAATGTTTTTGGTGGTATGTATATGTTATTTTGGAATTTAAGTTTATATAGGCTAAGAACTCACAAACAGGTTTTTTGCCCTACACGCTACAGAACTGTTCATTTCAAACTCACAAGACCATAATTTTCTGCGCTTCCGCCGGGGGAAGCTCTCCGCTTCTGCGGGTGCTCAAACATAAGCGTGCTCTGGGGGTACAAATCGCGTCATGAGTTTTGCTTTTTATCTGCTATTTCACATTCTACGCGAATTGCGGTTACGCAGCCGCGGAAGAAAATCGCGCCGTGTTCTTAGCCTTGCTAAATTATTGCCTGAACCATGCCTAAATTTATTTTATATTTTAGGAATAGTTAACTGTGCTACAATTGCGAATGGAATAGTAACTGCTTGCAAACAAAACCCTCCAAAACTTCCAATTGTTATACGACTTGAAGGCACAAATTCAGGGGCAGCAAGGCAAATTCTAGAGCAATCTGGAGCACCTGTCACAATCATGGATAATGTTGATGAGGCAGCAAAAATAGCAGTTAAGTTGGCAGCCACCTCAAAGTAATGATTTCTTGTGTACCTTTGTAGTCTATATAGGTACCTAATTGTTTTTGTAGTGTTAGATGAAAAATCTTAGCATTTCAAAACCATGCCATTATCTTCCAATTTGCCTTATTGTACTTTATAAGTTAGTTTTGATAGGTACTAATAAATCAATAAAAATACTAACGATTTTTTATCAATATACTTTAATATTTATTAAGACTGAATTTTAAATAGACTTTATTTCATGTTGTTCTATAACATTTAGGAAATATTTTGAAGTGCTGTAAGTTTTTTTAGTTACTGTTGTACATAGTGTTTAAAGATGTTTGTTAAATAAATGTATATTGAAATAATTTTGTAGAAATAATGTTTTGTTTTTAGAACCATTACCTTAATGTTTAAGTCTAATTATATAATTTATAGACCAGGGTCGATAATTTTAAAAATGGTGAAAAGTGAAAAAAAATTATAGTAGGATGAAACCCATTAGAAAAGGTAGAGAATATAACAAAAATGAAAGGAAAAATAAATTACGGGCGATCTGAGGTCGGGAAGGGGGAGGGGGTGAGTTTTTAAGGGTAAAAATGGTTAATCTCGATTTCCGGTAAAACTGCAAGTCCTATGAAAAATAGTTAAATGGCAAAGTTGTAGGTAATAAAAAGATCTACAACTTTTGTATCGACACTTTTTTCACATAACCTCAAAATTTATGTGAAAAATGCGAATGCGAACCGAGTTTTTGGTTTTTGATTTTTATTTTTTGCAAAAAAAAAATATTTTTTCACGAAATTTGGTGAAAACTTACCTTTGTATGTCCCAAACATACAGTAATTTTTTTGATTTAAAATATTCATTTTTTCACCTTATTTTGACTTAATATCCAAAAAGCACCCTAATTTTCAATCGAAAATTCTCACGTCAAAATATCTGCTTTTTTAAAAAGTTGGGGTGTTTTTGTTTGTTGAAATCTCTACTTTCTGATGGTATAAAAAAAAATATACACTACTATGATAAATGTTCTCAGAAAATGCAAATTAATAATGAAAAAAACTCGAATCCGAAAATCCTATTTTAAGTATTATTATTATTATTTTATTATTATTATTTATTTTTAGTATTATTATTTATTATCCTATTTCATTTTTTTTATTTAAGTCCATGAAAACGATAGTAGGATAGCTATCATTAAAAAATAATCTTTTCACGTGTCACTTAATTTATAAACTCCCTTCGGCCACCATCGTAACCGTATTTCGTACTTAATCAGTTGCAATAGTGTCAGTCATTCGCCCGGATCTCGTTGAAGGTGGCCAGCTTTCCTTGTGCCACTATACTTGTCTATATGAGAGTCGCTATAAGTGAATAACAAATAAAATAACCAATTGCAGAAATACTAATTTAATTTAATAACAATTCAATTATAATAGTGTACCAAGTGGTACATTCTAAGCGCGGAACAGGTTGAGGCGGCGGCCTTGCGGTGTTTCTGTCGATGTAAGCGCCATATTCGCGTGGATTTCGTCGAAGGTGGGCAGATGGGCCAGCTTCCCTCGTGCCGCTATACTGGGCTTCTTGTTGAGCATGCGTCGAGCCACGCGCACTACGTCCTCGGCCGTGATTTTCTCTGCGAAATTACAAATTTTAGAATATAAACCGCCTTATTACAAAACGTAGATTAAAGTTGAACCTGGACTAAATTTGATGCTGTCTCTCTTGTCTGCTAAAAAGAAGACAGAGACAATATTAAGTTTGAACCAAAACTAAATTTAGTCCGCGTTTTGTAATAAGGCCGAAAGGGTGTAAAATGGGACTGCTGTTGGTGAACTAGCATGAGGTATGGACATAAGTATTGTATTGTCATAAATAAAGAATTTTGGCAAATTTCTGTTTCGGTTAACATGTACAATTTCATCACAAACAGCCACTTGAATCATCAAATTAATTTACTGCTTCATTAAGTCACGTGTTGTCACTCACTTTCTATACTAGTTTTCGCAAAGTGAGGGCCATCATCAACTTTAGTCAAACTTGAAAGTTTTTGTATTCCGCCCACAGAGGTATAAGAATAGAGTAGGGGAGATATAGACTACTACAAGTGCAACTGTCCTTCTAATAGAAAGAGATGAGATGAGAGACCGCTGGCTTTCTCTCTAATCGCGCATGCGCCTTGGCAACCGTAAGTATCTTACTATTTCGATGTGATGTCATTGGAGTATGCCATGCGTCACAAGAGAGAGATATAGCTAGCGGTCTCTCATCTTCTTTCTCTTTCTACTAGACGGACACTTTTAGAGCCGCCTTCTCCACTCTATTCTTATACCTCTATGATTCCGCCTGAGTGCGACTGTTAATCACTTCGATCTACTCTCTAACTGCCATGGTCAGCTAGCGAACGAGGAAAGGAGATTCAGAATCGATGAGAGATCTTTCATATTAAGAATTTTACGACACAATGTACTTGATGGACTTTGTGACACATGTTTTTTTTAAGAAAGATGCATACCAATTTCATTGATGAAGTAAGATGGTGGTTTCCTTTTCCCAGTGGCGAGCACTTGGCGACCCACATCCTCGAAGACGACTGGTCTGGCTTCCAAGTTCATTAGCAGCATGGATTGTAACTGGGTCTTTGCTCTCTGCAACATTTATAAATAAATAAGTATTTCCAACACACACCAATTAGCCTAGCCCTAAAGTAAGCACTATAAGGCCTGTGTTATGGGATACTAGGGTAACGGATAGAATACATATATAAGTATATTTTTATAGAAATACATATTAAACATCCATGACTGGAGTACAAATGCTCATATTCATCACAAACATGGCTCCCACCGGGATTTGAACCTCTCGAGTCGGCGACACCATGAAACCTGGCTTACAAGATACTCGGTACAGGAAGTCGTCAACGTCATTTATTGAATTGCTTCATGATTAAGAAGATAAAGTTCCGAAAGGGTAATGTGCTAAAACGTTTTGGAACTTCTTTTTTGAACATAAACCGCCTTATTCCAAAACGGGGACTAAAGTTAGTCTTGGTTTAAACTCTATGTCCGTCCGTCTTGTTTTTAGCAAACTAAAGTGACGGCATCAGTTTTAGTCTAGGTTTAACTTTAGTCCGCAATTTGGAATAAGGCGGAGAATATTGTAGATACCAAGCAATGATATTCGATACCCTAGATACACTCAAAATATGTCCCAACCAAGAAACACCACTTGAGCACTTCTTGGTTTACAGTCACGCGGGGACCGTTGGAAAGTCAACTTGCGGCAGAGATCCGTGAAAAAATTCGAAAAACATACTAATAGTGCGTTTGTTGTTAACTTAATGCATTAAAAACAAATTTTGTTGTAATAATAATAATAGTTGTAGTTGTTGATGTCGCTGTCCCCCATGACGACAACCTTGCAAAAGCTGAAAAAGATATAGAAAACAAATATCTTGATTTAGCTCGCGAGATTGTCGACATGTGGGAAATCGATTCAGCAATTGTTGTGCCGATAGTCATATCTGCCCATGGTTTGATAGTCAAGAGCCTCGATAAACACTTTAAGAGGCTCGCGTTAGGTAGTTGGGTCAAGAGTCAGATGCAGAAAGGAATACTTCTGGACACGGCCCTTATAGTGAGGAAGTTCCTGTCTCTGGATCCTTAACCACCGGTAGCAGGGATTGTAAAAAATTAATATTTAGAAATATAGTTTTGTATGTATTTTAAATTAAATAAAGGAAATAATAATAACAATAAAACTCTTTATTTTACACCACATAAAACATTATACATAATGGCTGTTTACAGTGTAAAAATGGGCGGTCTTATCGCTAAGAGTGATCTCTTCCAGACAACCTTGGGATGGAGAGGACAAGAAAGAAGCTGGAAAGACGGCAGTGTAATTAACGCGAGAAAATCTTTGTACAAACTGAGTATATAAAAAAATAAACACATGAATACATAGATATAGATACATACACTCATACATACTTAAGTAAATACATATACATAAAGATATATATATATTAAAAAATATATACCATACTAGCAAACCCGGCGAACTCCGTTTCGCCACCAGATGGCTTCGTTTTATGTAACATTTCGTTTGGTGATTAAAAGAAGATTTTTTTTAATTTTTCCTGAATTTTCTGCTATAAACCTCACGGAGCCCGAGACCTTTCCAACGAATGCAAAACCGTGGAAATCGGTTCGTGCGTTCTGGAGTTATAGCGTCAGGAAGGAAAACCCGACTTATTTTTATATAGTAGATACAAGTCTAATTCGGTGAGAGGAAATAAATACAATAGAAGAGCTATAAGGACAGATAGTCAGATTCTCCACGTCTTATGGAAACTGGAAGTGAGTTCCATAGGCGAACAGCTTGCACTGCGAATGAGCGGCCGTAAAAAGTTGTTCCGTGCACAGGTTATAAGAGCAAAATTTTCTGATGACCTTATGGCGCATCCACACATGCCCGGCGGCACGGCCAGCGGCCAAGCCGCCGGCACATGCATCTTTTACCTGCGGCACGCGCGGCTTTTGGTTGCCGGCGGCAGTTTGCTCGCGGCTTCGATACGGAGTGGTAGTGTTGTATAACTTCTTGAATGAAAGGACAGTGTATATAAAACACAATAATATGTTATATAGTCCAAAATCTGCCTCGAAAGGCACAATGCAAGGTGCTGCCTTATCTCCTTTATTGTATAATATTTACACTAGTGAAATTTGCAACTTCATAGACAATGTAAATAATAACATAAATATTTTACAATTTGCTGATGACATCTTTTTGTACAGTAATAACTACAATTTACAAGTAGCAATAGACAGTATTAATGTAGCTTTATCCCAATTGTTTTATTATTATAATGACATTTTACATTTAAAAATTAACTCATCCAAGAGCAACGTTATGATATTCAGCAAGGATACACCAATCTATAATATTATTTATAATGGTGAAATTATAAACAAAAAACGAAAGTCACAACACTACTGCGAAAATTGCAACCGCATCTGCAAGCCGCCGGTAAAGCCGGCGGCAAATTCAGCAGCAAGGCGGCCTGGAAGCCGGCGGCAAATTCAGCGGCAAGGCGGCCTGAAAGCCGGCGGCATGCGTGGATACGCCATTAGGGATAATGCATTAGAGGTGTGAAGGAAGTTAAAACATTCCTTAAGAGCCCTTTCACATTTTTTGCAAAAATTCGTAATTTTTAAGCGCCTCGTTTACCCCCTTCGAAAAGATTTTGACTATTTCCAATAGAAGTAAACAATACATTAATCTTCCTATTGAAAGTTAATGTAGAACTAGCAAACCAGTGAACCAAATGTTCACCAAAACCTGATTTCTCGAAAACCGGAAGTGCTACGTTACTCAAATCCGGTTTGTAGTCTTATCAGACTATTATAACTTAAATATTCTCTTTATAGATAGATAAAGAGAATATTTATGGTTTGGCCGCTGAAACTGCTGTTTCTGTGGTGCTCCACAGACAGACGGACGGACTTGTCTAATAGATAAGAGATATTTGCAAATACTATTTTCCTGTTTTTGTACTGTTAATCGTTCCTACTGCAGCTAGTTTACGAAAAAAACGATAATATGCACAACTTCAAACGCCTCAATCTCTCAATAATGTTCAATAAATTAGATCAAAATAGTTACTACATCAGAAATATGTTTTTGTTGTAACATAATGTATTAGAATTTTGATTTTCCATCTCCTTAATTATCAAAAAAAAAAACATCTAACCTCCGTGAGTTTTCCCAAAAAATAATGCAGGTTTACCTCGTATTTTGACATTGAATTAAATAGAATTACTATCTAAAACTTTCATAAAATTAATCTACCATCATTGAACTACTGAAATATGTATATATTTTTATAATTAGTTCATTAATAATTATTATATAAGACTCGAAACATCACCCGTAAAATGCAATATGTACTAGTGCAAAACTACCTACGCGCCGATCAGTACGGCAGCGGCGCAATTTTGTAAAAGGGTTCTTAAGATAGCACGGGGTCAAAGGATTAAACAGTACGTTATAGATAAGATTAAGGATATGAGTATTCTGGCGAAAGCGAATAGGCAGCCACTTGAGCTGTGAACGAAATTGAGAAACATGATCATTTTTTTTGAGTGTGTATGCTGTTGGTCGCAGATGACCTTTACAGCGTCACCGGGTTTGGGGACGGCGAGATCCTAAGGGGACCTCAAGCCGAGAATTGGCGAGTGCCTCTAGAGGTATTCCAGGCGAATGTCGTCTCCCTACGGGGGGAGTCTCCGCTCCGTCTGGAGCCTCTAGACCACTCGAACCTGAGGGAGTCGGCTCAACTAGAGGGCGTCTCTGAGACTCTGACCTCGGCTCTAGTTAGCTGTTGTCGTGGGGGGCGGGGAAAAACGCCCAGGTACGTACCTGTACCTGGTATAACGTATCGTGTGTAGACCGGGTCTTCGCACTCTTATCCTACGGGTGCGGTGTCTGCCTAATGCTAAGCTAGTGTGCACGTTTGCTAGCTGTGTAGTGTTGATGTTTGTGGCCTGTGTGGGAGAATTTGGAGGCGCGTTGGCGAGGGTGATTTCGTCGTCGGTGTAGACGTGCCTAGGCCGACGGAATCGGAGGAACATGATCATACTTGCGCAGTCCAAATATAAATCGTATACAGAAATTCTGAAGTCGCTCAAGTTTATCAAGCTGTGACTCCGTGAGATCTAGATAGCAGACGTCAGCATAATCAAGAATAGGAAGCAAGAGTGTCTGAGCAGTGGCGGCGCTAGGTGTCGGCGATGTCGGCCACCGCCGACGGCCTCGCGCCTGAGGGGGCCTCGCAAAAAAATTTTACAAGTTACCTATCTATTTTCGTTTCTCCTGACCTGGCTTAGGTAGCCGACCCCGAACAATTTGGGGAAAAAGCTAAGCAGATGATAATGCCTTTTATTATTTTCGAACACGTGCGTGATGGAAGCGAGAAGTACTTTACGGGTAATCGTCTCTCTGGCAATACTATGAAATGAAGTTTCGCACGAATGAGCGTTTTCACTGCCCGACCCGACACGATATTCTGTACTGGATGAAAATGTTTGTATTGTCATTTATCATATTTACTTATTGCATTCATGGGTTTACACAAATCTTAAATTATACGTGCGTTACCACGTATAGCAAATATACAAACACAATGTGTGTGTGTGCGCTCTTCATTATGAGCGTCCGATACCGATATCGTGTCGGTCGGGTAGTATGAAAACGCTCAATTGCGCGCATGAGACTCCGGACGGGGAATCACCGAGTTGTTTGAAAAAATCAGTGAGGCTAAAAGCCGAAAAGTTCGACTATTTTAATTTCTATGTTTGTAATTATTTTTTGTCATCATTTGATTATCAACAATAAAACTCGTTTACTCATACGTTATTTTATAATTTGGCTCACTTAATTTAACGCTTTTTTACTGCGAAGTAAAATAGGCCTCGCGAACTTGATGTCGCCGACGCCCACATGTGGTCTAGCGCCGCCACTGTGTCTGAGCTAAGGTAATTTTGGTGATAGTGGGTAGGAAATTACGCAGTGTCTTTAGAGAGGCTGCGGAAGCAAACAGTTTACGACTGAGCACTTGCATCTGGGGTCCCCAACTCATGCAGCTGTCGAAAGTTAAACCTAAGTTTTTCACTGAGGTGCTAAATGGAATAATGGTGCCCGCAGGATGGACTTTGGGGAGAGATTGCCAGTCAACTCTAGTGATCATCCTGGAACTTCCAATTACAATACTGTTTGTTTTAGAAGGATTAACGTCCAGCCCAAAAGATTTACTCCGTTCCAAAATAATATTTAAGTCACTATTAGTGGCCAATACTGCATCGCCAAGTTGACCAACGGGTGCTTGTTGATAAATTTGGAGGTAATCTGCATATAGGTGGTAGGAAGAAGAAATATTATTAGAAATAAAATTGATCAATACAGCGAAGAGTAGTGGAGATAAGACGCCGCCTTGTGGAACGCTAAGCAGTCGTGTCACGTCTCCTTAAGGCGGACTCGTTGCCTGTGACCATACAGATAACTGTGAAACCACTCAATCGCCGATGGAGATACGTTAAGTGAGCGTAACAATGCCAAATGAATTTCAAAGTTGACAGTGTTAAAGGCATTGCTAAAGTACAACAGTGTTAATACCGTAAGGAAACCGTGGTCCATCCCAAGACGTGTGTCATCTGTGACTTTAAGTAAGGTAGTTGTAGTACTATGCCCTGGACGGAAACCGGACTGAAGAGGATTAAAGAGATCGTGTCGAGAAAGGAATATATTAAATTGATTAAGTACAAGACGCTCAAGAGCCGTAGACAGAAAAGGAAGAATGGAAATGGGACGAAAATCAGCGACAGATTGAGGATTTGACATTTTTGGCAAAAGGATAATTTGAGCTTGCTTCCATGCCGATGGAAAAATGGAAAAACAGCGTTAAGAATAGAATTGTTAAAAAGGAAAGTAAGCACAGGAAGAATTATGTCTAAGATTGGTATTAACATGTTGCGACTTATACTGTCACTCCCCACCGCATTGGATGAGATAGAAAGTACACTCTTCTTTACGTCACATTCAGAGAATTGAGTAAAAGCAAAAGCAGAGTAGTGTGGAACTGGTAAAGAAGAAAGATAATTTAAAGTGTTAGTCTTGTCTGAGTCACTTAGACTAGAAGAAGATGAAAAGTGAAGGTTTAAGGAGTTGACGTTGATGCTACTGGGAACAGATTCTTGTCGGGGCTTACCAATTCCAAGTGACTTATGAAAACTTTAGACTTTAGCAGGATCTTTATTATTTACTGAGACGTGAATATGGCGACGTAAAGCATCCCAAGTTACTACACACCAAGTTGCAGTAGTTACGGGCTCTAACGTAGTTAGCTTTATTGGAGTCAGTCGGTCGGCGTTTATACTTGCTTTTGGCAACATCCTTCTTGTGCTTTAATGCTCTGATGTCGTTCGTGAGCCAAGGTGCTGGGAGGTGTTTCGGCTTGATGGGACGAAAATGTTCATCGTAGAGTTCAGTGATAATTAGATTAAAGTTCTCGACCTGTTCGTCCACAAACACCGCGTCAGTTACTAATGCCCAATCGGTGTCGCATAATAGTGCTTCCTCATCCATACCACCAAAATTCCGCTGAAGAATAACTTTGGGCTTAATTTTTGGAGTCCAAATTTAGTCATGGCATGAGAAGGCATCTGCTGAACATTGACTATGCTTCATAATAAGATGAGGAGAAGACACAATTATTAGGTCAAGAAGTGAGGAAGTAGTGTTTGGAAAGTGGTGAGTAGCGCTAAGGGGGAGAATATGTAGGTTACAAGAATTAATAATGGATTGAAGAGAAGATGATCGAGAGTCATTTTTCAAAAGACAAGTATTGAAATCGCCCATGATCAAAGTGTGGCTGTAAGAGGGAACCAAATCTCTCAGGAGTTGTTCAAAAGAACTGAAATAGTTGACATTTAAAGAAGGGCTGTAATAGACTCCGAGAAGTACTTCGGTGTGCGAAAGGGTCGCATCGACAAATAAATGTTCATCGGCATCATTTGGAAGAGGCTGTGTGGAGGAGCTAATTATAGTGTAAGGAATCTGGGAACGTAAATAAATAGCAACTCCACCACCTCGGGAGCTCGTGCGATCATTGCGCAGCAAATTGAAGCCAGGCAAATCATAGAAGGAAGAGGGTAGCGTAGGTTTAAGCCAGGATTCGGAGACTAGAACAGCATGAACATTTTTGTGGTCAAGAGACGCCGGCATATCAGTGTAATGAGCCAGAATACTTTGGGCATTTATATAAACGTTAAAATTTTTAGGAACATCAGAAAATTCGCTGTCAAGGTAATCAAAAAGGGAGGGTATACTAAAAAAACTACAGTCAGTGCAGTTGCTAGAAGGAGACAAAGATTGAAAAGAGTTTCCATCACTATCAAATTCAGAACTAGACATTAAATATATAATATAAATATATAAGTTGATAACGTAAAAATATTCAAATACCTAACTTTAATTATTATGCTCCACCTGCCGGTTGAGTGGAGTCCAAAACGCACTAGAACATTAAAAAAAAAACAAAGTACTACTAAACATTCAAATAAGTACAATAAAATACAGTGAACAGTATCAAAGGACTATTGAGCTATTGAGATGAAATAAAAAGATTTTAATCAGGGGATCTATTGGGAACTGTTATAATTCTGCATAATCCGCTACAAAGTTGGCTGTATGGGGATAGAAACCAAAGCAATCTAAAAAAGGAGAAGTTGTAATACTTACTATACACTGATTTAATAGAAAATATTTGTGATATTCAAATGCATTGTCGGTAATTTATTTTGGAAAACCAACAGCTCACAAAATTCATAAAAATATTATACATAGAAACAGTTGGCCAATAGGCTTGTGTCAACTAACAATAAATCGAATGGGTTACAGTTTCTAAATATGAATTATGATATACAGATAACAAAAAATAAAGCTATTTATCATAATAATTAAAGATTATTATTATTTTTAGAAAATAAATTCGAATAAAATAGGCATTAGATCACGTGACGGCAAACACCAATCAGAAAGACTGACGTCACCACGTGCAAAACATTACTTGTGGTTGCCGTTTCCATACATTTCATTGATATCTCATTCATGTTATTGTTACTTTGATACAAATTATCAGTTTGTTTTCAGATAAGTATTGAAAGGAAGCCTAATAAATTCATGGAATTGGGATTTACCGAAGCAAATACTAATATTTTAACCAAAATAAGAAATAAATCGCATAACTACTCGACATAATTAAGCATATCATTTGGCAACTAGAACAAGAATAAGAAGTGTTTATTATTATGAATAAATATATTGAACTCTCAAATAGACTCTAAATCATACCATAAAATTAAATCAACTTACCTAACCTCAACCTATTGTCATTGTTTTATCAATATAATGCAATATAATTTATCCGGCTTGTATAACATTTTGATTTCATTGATTATGTTATGCAAAATACTTACATCAAAATGTTCATCACAAAATTATTCTTGTATTTGTTGATAAACAATGAATAGGTACCATCCCTCCTTGCAAGTTCTAAGTTCTAACCTTTTTTTTCCGCATTTGTGGCATATAAATAATTTGTCTGGGGTTTTATGCTTCTCCTTTTATACTAGGACACTATACAGTACTTGTAATACGATGGATTCATTTTTAACTAAATAATTTTAATAGTCGGCGTACAGCGTATTGTTTGCTTTGCACGGCGTGACGTCATTCTAGACGCCATGACAGTCTAGAGCGTTTTCGAGGGAAATTTGAACAAGTTTTTTAAAATACAAAATACATATTGCTAATGTACTTTTTTATTTAAAATAATATTTTTTTGGGGTTAAATAAATATCAAGGTATACTATTAACCAATTTTTAAAATATAGGCAACTAGCCTATTATAGAATTTAAGGTGTAATTATATTGCCGTCTCTCGCGCTCCGTACCTGCTATATTGCGTGCAGCAGCGCATTCAGAATTAAGATATAGAGTCATAGAAATAAAGTCTATATTCTTCCGCCTATAGCGACATGTAATTTTTAACGAGCTTGCATTTCGAACTGTCATAACTTTTTGACGCATGAGTTTAAATTAAGACCTTAAACATTATGCATTAATGGTGCCTTTGAATGTTTTAATAATGTCTAATCGATATAATGAATAGTCGATCATCTTACGGAGCTCCGTGGATTGTCCGATGTACCACTTGGACAGGTGTCGGCCACTATTTTGTTAGTGATATTGTATCTAGGGTTTTAAGTATCGTTGATATCAAGCAACTTATACACATTTTTATATACGCAATCAAATAAAATTAACTTCTACTGTACTGCATCATACTCACCCTCAACTCGTTCTCGACCTTCCCAGCCATATTGGCGAGCTCACGCGCAATCACTATGGTGGTGTCGTAGATGTACGCAGAACAGACCCATGTCGCTATGCAGTACTGTATCATAGTAACACAGACACTCACCATCAACTCGTTCTCGTCGACCTTCCGCGCCATATTGGCGAGCTCGCGCGCAATCACTATGGTGGTGTCGTAGATGCGTATGCAGAACAGACCGGTGTCGCTAAACAGTACTGCATCACAGTAATATCTACTCACCGTCAACTCGTTCTCTCCGACCTACCCCGCCATATTGGCGAGCTCACGCGCAATCACTATGGTGGTTTCGGAGATGCGGTTCGGCGGTGACGCGGAATGTACGCAGAACAGACTCGTGTCTCTATACGGTACTGCATCATAGTAATATAGACACTCACCCTCAACTCGTTCTCTCCGACCTTCCCCGCCATATTGGCGAGTTCGCGCGCGATCACTATAGTGGTGTCGTAGATGCGGTTCGGCGGCGACGCGGAATGTACGCAGAACAGACCCGTATCGCCGTACGCGTGGTTGTAAGCGGTAGCGTTGAACATCCAATGATATCTGTAAGTATAATATATATTTATAATCCACTCAGATCATAATCGAGTATGTATGGTATATTTTATTTGAATATGGTATGCCATGCTAATATTATAAATGCAACGATATTTAATACCCCTGATACAAAACACGAACAAAATCGTGGACGAAACCTGTCCAAAAGGTACATTGGACCATCTATGGAGCTCCGTGGGATGATCGCGTAGTCATAAACGATGTAAGGCCTTACTTACTTAAACATTCAAAGTCACCTTTAGTGCAAAGTATATAAGGTCTTAATTAAAACGCACGTGTCAAAGAGTTGCGACAGTTCAAAATGTAAGCTCGTAAAATTTTACGATTTATTGCTACAGGCGGAAGAACCTAAACTTTATTTCTTTGACTCTACGCGTAATTCTGAATGCGCTGTTAGCAATATTGCAGGTACGGCTTGCGAGGAATATGAGACAGCTGTATAACCGACCATGCATTTGGATATCACAAATATTTTCTATTAAATCAGTTTATAGTAAGTATTAGAACAAAATTTTCTTCAGATACGTTAAATTAACAAACATTGAATAGGTACCTGTCTAAAAAACGACATTACCACAAAACTTAGTTTTACTAGAAATATTTGTTTACATCAACAATGTTTTTGTATTCCGACCCCGTTGGAAAACACGAACACATATCTCCCCCGCGCGGGTCAAGGGGCAGGGTATTGTTTCATCGGCCATTTTTTCACAACTGGCTAGCGGGACCAGCGTTCCAAACCTACACTCCAAGTACAACTTTTCACTCTGACGTTTAAACTTTGTCATAAAATGTAGGAAACTTTTGTCAAATTTGACATTTGTTGCACCTGGATCGCAGTTATAGAACGTAGCCCCGTGTATATTGTGTACGTTAGCCACGTGAGCAGTGGACGGCGTGTATGGAGAAACATGTTTCAGAAACAAAGTTTTGTAAAGTGTTTTTGATCATGACATCTTTCCTCTCGCTTTCCTGCAATTCGCGGGAGTGATTTCGTCAAATGGGACGGAAATGTGTAAAAGGAATTCGCGAAAGTGCGCGCTATTTGATTTGATTTTAGAACATAATGTTCAAATGGCTTATTCCTTTTGTAGTAGGTTTTATTTCTTTTTTACTAATATAAGGTGAGGTTTCAAATGTTACACACTATACGCGACTACTGTAAGGCTCGCTCGTTTTTTATTTAATGTTTTCAAAAAACTGTAGCTGTAGACTCGGCTTAACGCAGACGAAGTCGCTAATGAAGCTAATATTTACCTATTTAACACGTTGGTGTAGAGGCGCGTATACATTCCCTTTCCGGGCCCGCCGGCCGAGAACGATCCGCCACCACCCATCATCATGTTCAAAACGCACGTCGCGACGAAATCAGGGTCTCCGTGTGAGCAACCTGTAAAAACACAGTAACAAAATCAAATACCTATCAAGAAAGCCAAGCAAATATATATTTAAATCTAAAGAAAATTTTACAAAAATATAAAAGGCAGCAGACGAGACTGGCCTGGTTTTCAAGCAAAATTTCTCCAAGTTAAATGCTTAAAAAAATGTATTTATTTATGTTTCTTGTAATGTCGGACTTCGAATGTCTATTTATATTTGTTATTTTTAACTGAACAGCAGTCTCGCTTTTCGACTCCCTATAAAGTATGATAAGGATAACTTGCTGTCAATTAAGGTAGATAATCGGACATATAAATTTTTTGAATGTAACAGAACTTCTCCTAAACAGCTAGACCGATAGTGATGAAAATGACATTGTACACATTGCAGTAGTTTTTATATGATATTGAATGAATTAATGACCTAAACAACTTAAAAATTTGATAAAAAAAAATTGGATAAGCCTTTTCCGAAATATTTTTTTTGCAACTCAATTTATATGAATTGTACTTAAATGACTAATACCTTTGTCTTTGTAACTATGATGGAAGTTTAAAAAATGATGGTGCAAAGTGAAAAAATTATGGTCCGTGAATTATGTCTTAAGATTTCAACTTTAAATCTAAAATCTTAATAGGTAGTTTCATAGCTCCTAAGTAAGTTTAAAAACTGTGCCAAACTCTCAGCTTTCATAATCATTTAAAAAAAGTAGTACTTAAAGGGCTACTTTTGCTAAAATCGGACTTCAAAAACAGTGAGGTGGAAAAATCTTAAAATTAGCAATTTGGTATCGAAGTATTTTTTTGGCATTTTATCATTCCTAAAGTTAATTAGATTGTTAACTAACCAAAATTTATTGCAAGAACGCTAAGATGTTAACATTTGGATTATCTTGTGGACCGATGAATCACACTATAAAAGGTGTGGGATTTTTAACATCCACAATTATCACTCATGGAACATCGAAAATCCACACCTGACACGTGACTCAAATTTTCAAGAACAATTCAGCGTGAACTTGTGGTCAGGCATAATAAACGGACAGCTGATTGGTCCGTTCGAACTACCAGACCGATTGAATGGCGAGTCCTACTTGGAATTTTTACGACAAGATCTCAATAATTTACTCGATGGATGTAGACCTTTTAACGCGGAGGAACATGATTTTTCAAAACGATGTCGCTCCATCCCATTACGCGAGCATCGTCAGACATCATTTAAATGAAAGGTTTGGAGACAAGTGGATCGGGCGAGGATTTTTTCGTGATATTGTTTTGTGCATATAATTTTAATCCCTTAAGTTCGTTTACTAAATGCTGCCATAGCTTCGCCTTCCGTGAAAGCGCCGTCTTTGCATAGATATATAACAATATCTGTGTCTCCACACATATATTCGCTATCTTTTCCGGTGATATCGCATTTTGCACTGCGTGGCCCCCACGGTCCCCGGACTTAAACCCTATTGATTTCTTTGTTTGGGGATATTACAAAGAATTGGTCTACGCTAAAGACATAAGAAATATTCAAGAATTACGAACGAAAGTGCGACACGCAAAAGAAACAATAAAAAATAACAGAATAGCGTTTATTCAGCTAAAAGAAAACTTTTTTAGAAGGTGCAGAATATGTATTGAGCAGGAAAGGAGACATTTTGAAAACTTTTTGTAATAAATAGCAGTTACTTTTTGTTTCATTTAGCTTTCCCTTTTTAAAGATTTTATTTTTGTAACTAAATTTAATTTTTAGGTATCACACAATACAGCGAGTTCAAAAAATCTTCTTTTAAACTTTAAATTAAACTTAAAAATAGTAGAATCTTAGCTTTTTTGCAACCATTTTCGATTAGTTAACAATCTAATTAACTTTAGGAATGATAAAATGTCAAAAAAAAAACATCGATACCAAATCGCTAATTTTAAGATTTTTCCACCTCACTGTCTTTGAAGTCCGATTTCAGCAAAAGTAGCCCTTTAAGTACTACTTTTTTTAAATGATTATGAAAGCTGAGAGTTTGGCGCAGTTTTTAAACTTACTTAGGAGCCATGAAACTACCTATTAAGATTTTAAATTCAAAGTTGAAATCTTAAGACAGTGAATTACTGACCATAATTTTTTCACTTTGCACCATCATTTTTTAAACTTCCATCATAGTTACAAAGACAAAGGTATTAGTCATTTAAGTACAATTCATGTAAATTGAGTTGCAAAAAAATATCTCGGAAAAGTCCTATCCAATTTTTTTTATCAAATTTTTAAGTTGTTTAGGTCATTAATTCTCAAAATTTTAGTAAAAAATTCATAACTCGCAAACTATAAAAAATCGCGGAACATACATGGGGGTGTTTCGGATTCCCCAAGAGGTGTTCTATCCCGGGACTACCGCTTGACACTACTTTTTGGGACACCCTGTATATGCAGAAATATATAATATGCATTTACCCATCTAATATTTAACTGAAGTTAAGAATTTCCTCAGATGAGTAAGCCCATCTGACTACCATACAGGAGGCAGCAGTAAGTTTAGTACATATATATATAGGTATTATATTCAAATTGTATGCTTAATATGTTATATATTATTTTAAACTAATTGTTTGGTCACTGAAACATTCTTGTAGTTACTTAAGGTAAATAAAGCTAGTTAGTGTTATGCTCATTATCTGAGTACTTATAATAAATTAAATAAAAACTTCTTCCTAGGTTAAATCAATTCTTAAATTATAATGCTTACTTTCTAATCCAATAACAACATGCGATAATTCTGGTAAATCAGATCCTGGATACAATGGGATTTCACATTCTTCCTGAAACACAAATACAATAACACAATAGTAATAGTATGTTTAAGAGTTTGCAGTTTATAAGGCTGCATAAATTTATATACCATTTCTTCTGTTTTAAATGTTAATGAAATTTCTGTCCTGCGTTGTTCACCTTAAAGGTTAATTGTATATTTTTAAAATAATTGTTATGAGCTCATTTCAGGATGGAATTTTTAAGTAAATTTACAAATTATATTATACCTGTTGTATGCCTCCAGTGTATTGGGCAATGGATTTATCAACTTCAGGATCACTATTATCAATTTCTTCACTATGCCATGTGGGCTTCATGTCCACAAAATATTTCTGAACAAATTCAACAAATGGAGCATGTTCAACCTGCAAGACACACAAACAGCCTAATTTTAGGTATAAAAAACAAGGGATAATTTTATGGTTGATAAAGAGAAAGAGAGAATAATAACTTTAACTGACCACACATATCAAAATAACATTTCAATAACAAGAGGGGATGGAACACAACAAAGCAAAAGTCTATCTTTTTCTTGAGATAAGAATAATATAGGAGATGGCCAATCAGATCAATGCTCTCAAAGAAACATGTAGTAACATTTACAATAAATTAATACATATCAATTAATTTTAAAGAAGAAAAAGTAATGATGATGTCAATATACTTACACCAACTGCAGCCACAACCATTCTGCTAGGAGTATAGTGATGTTTCAAATATTTAAGAATAATGTTGCGATCAATTTTATTTAAATTTTCTGGTGGACATATTTTTGGTAGTCCAAGTGTGTTTCCTTTATAGGCAGCCTGTAAATTTATATTTTAGATATAGGTATTTCTAAAACATAGCATTAAAATAGACTAACATATAAATGAACTAATTGAATGAAATATTTTATCCCTCTGTGATCATATTTGGAAAAAAAAATTTGCTAATGTCAAATTTACACTTGTATTAGCTATAAGCTATTGTATATGTTAAAAAGTTAGTTACATAATCAGCCCCCAGAACAGAGGAAGTAATAACAGTAAACACCACAGGAATCATCTATGAGACTACTAATGAGACAGCTGATAATAGGGATATTATTCTGCAAAAGAACATAAATGCTTTTCATTTTCCTAGTGTTAAGTTCCATTTGAAGTTTATTACCCAACTGCACCAAGCAGAACATAAAGAAAAAACTTAAAGAAGTAAATGTAAATATAAACATACAGCATGAATCATATCCATTAAAATAGTTTCTTGTTCAGGTCTCATGGATAATGTGTCCAACTCAAAAGCAACAGCTTGCCTTGCTGCTTCAATTTCTTCTGAGGATAATTGTGGTCTCATAGTAACTTCTGCTAAGACCTGTAAAGTAAATAAATAATAATACTTCCAACACTCACACCAATTAACCTAGCCCCAAAGTAAGCACTGTAAGGCTTGTGTTATGGAATACTAGGGTAATGGATAGAATACATATATTAGTAAATTTATATAGAATGACCTCTGGAGTTGGCGACACCATGAAACCCTGCATACAAACCACTCGGCCACAGAGGTAGTCAAATAAATGAAAATATTCCCATGCATAAATTTCTTTACGGCTTGCAGCTATGACACAGTCTTTACTAGTACAGTTGTTACTGTAAACCTCCAACTGTGTAATGAACTTTCTGTATATATACAACCTTAATCTGAATTGTAACTTTGGGATGAAATAAACAAATAATATTATTTTACATTTACACTAATCTTATCCAATTAATAACTTTATACCTGGGTTACTGCTTCAAGGCCTCTAGAGTCTGCACTTGTAGCATAAACTGTTGTATCTCGTGACCCTTGGCAATCACAAATGCCTCCATGTCTTTCCAACTCACGAAGCATTACATCACGAGTTGCAAATTTATGAGTGGCCTGAAATTTTAAACAAACATATAATAGTTATTACAGAAATTCTTAAACTATAATGAGCAATAATAATGCCATTTTAATTATAAATAGTTAGATTAAAGATCATACTTACACCAAAACTTAATTTTTCCAGGAAATGACATATTCCATTTGGATATGACACCTCATACCTTGGGCCTGAATCAATAACCACTAAAATGCATAAAAAAAACAATAAATTTTAAATTTTCATCAATCGTTCCAGCCTGTCACTATCTATCTCTTTAATACTTGCCTCCAGCAGTACAGAACTGGCCGAACTTTTTTTCAGATGCCACCCTTAATCCATTGCTAAGAACTGTTACCTCAGTATGAGCATCTTCAGATTTTGATGATGAATACACCACAGGAGGCAAATTTGACATTGGTTCTGATAGAGGAGGAAGAGGAGTGACACTTTCCTTTGGTAAAGCTTGTGTTGACCTATCCGCATCATGACTAAAACTTCTTAATCCCAATCTTGTACTATTCAAACTGCAAAATGAAATTTTACTATGAACTTGGATTGCATTCAATTAATGGATTTTCTATTATCAGCTTATTCCAATAGATTTAAATTTCTGTCTGAACGACCATGTCAAGAATGGATTTAGGCTAGAGTGAGTGAGACCGCAAGGCGTATAAATCTTAAAAAAAATATATCGTATGCGACATCGCAAGCTGTGAGTTTTGTAAATAACATACCCATTTTTCAAAGCAAATAACCTAGTGAACAAAAATTTCACATCTGTTACGTGTGTCATTTTTCTTGTGAACTTTTATATGCTTCTTTATATGCATAGACACCAAATAAAATATCTAGTAAATGCACTCATATAAGAGAACTATGAAGAATTTCTAAAAATATTATGATAAAATCAAATTAAAATGTATTCCGACGCGGACGAACCATCAGGTTTTTTTTTTATTATTATAATGGCTCGCACGGTTTGTGCATTGGCCACGACAGGGTAAAAGGTAAGGAAACCAAAATAATGAAATAAAAGGGTTATGAAACGGAATTTGGAAGGATTAGGATCAGGTAAGTACGTAAAATTAATTTGAAACCTAAGTAATAGGTCTTTTTAAGTATATAAAATACATTATATTATTTCTTATAAATTACTTATAATTTTATATTATGTTTAGTCAGGAATTCAGATAGCTTGTTATATATATTATAATTTTTATAATACAATAAGGAAGGAATAGAAGTAGGGAGAGGTACATTAAGGGATATTAATGAATCCATAAAAGAGGAGGAATCGTTGAGGGGACACTCGAAGAAGATGTGATTTAAGTCCTCTGCTCCAGTACCACAAGCACAAATACTATCATTTACTATGCCTAGTTTAGCCAGGTGGGAAGAAGATCAGTTATGACCTAGGCGCATTCTTATGAGACTTGATGTGGCAAACTTACTTAAATGAATTTTAGAAAACTATGGTTTATCGGGAATACATTGCTGAATTAATTTATAATGTTTACCTTTGATGCGACTACTAGTATCCCAATTTTCTTCCCAAGATATGCGTAGATGCACTTTAGGAAGTAAAAGAAGATCATTTACTAATTTTTATAGGGAAAGACGTCACCACAATTCACTGAATCTTTAGCGAGTTTATCAGCTACTTCATTGCCAGTGATGTTATGATGGTGGATGCAGGTATCCACGCAAAGAGCACATTTAGATTCTTCAAAGTACAATTCAGTAATAATTTCCTACAATCGATCAAATAAGCATTAGAAGAAGAAGCTTTAAAGGGAAATTTTTCTATAGCCTGTAGTGCTTTTGGAATCGGAAAAAATAATTGTCTTTTTGAGTTGTGCAAGCAAAATGTATTCTAATGATTTAAGGATTCCATAACATTCTCCTGTGTATACTGAGGTTTCTGGGGGTAATTTAATTTTTTGTGTTATTTTATACTGTTGGTGGTAAACACCGATTCCAACTATCCCAGTAGATGGATGTTTAGATGCGTCACAGTAAATGTAATGCCAGTCTGGCCATTCTGTATTAACAATACTCATTAGATTAATATTAGCATTTTTATCATTACGTAAAGAGTCTAGATAAATTACTTTGGGTGAAATGGTAAGAGCTTCATAATTAATAGAAAAAATAGGAAGATATTGTGATCGGTGGGTGGGTGCTAGCAGTGAAGTAAATTTAATGTAACTGATTACCAAGCAAGGAAGCGACTTGTTATTCCAATATGCCGAATTATTAATTTTATGCAATAAATGGTGTAACTTGTTAAAAAGAGGGTGGTCAGAAAGTTAAAGAGCTCTAAATAAAAATTTATCACTTAAAAACCGAACCTTGAGGTAGGCCTCTCCATGTCAGCCTAGATTTAAAATTGCCATCTCCCATATCTATTTTTATCAATCTTTCCGAAAGAAGGTTAATAATAAAATCGATCAAAAACTCAAGGAACTTCTAGTTTTATAAGTTTGTTTTTTATGATTTGAATGTCCACGTTGTCGTAAGCACAGCAGATATATCAATAAATGCAGCAAGAAGGGAATGATTATTTGAGAAGGCTAATCTGATATCAGTGGTGAAAATGCCTATGCTATCCATGGTGCTTTTACCTTTTCGAAAGCCATACTGGCTGGAAGCAAGAAGAGCTTTACTTTCTAAGAACCATTCCAATCTGTTCTTAACTAAGTGTTCTGCTATTTTAGAAAGAACTGAAGCCAGAGCTATAGGTCTATATGAATTTGGATCTGCAGGAGGTTTATTATGTTTCAATAAGGGAATTAATTCCTGAGTTTTCCATGATATAGGAATTTCGTTATTAACCATAATAGAGTTGATCACTTGTAATAAGTAAATAAGACTGTCGTCACTTAAGCGGGATATGAATGAATAGGGGATTCCATCACTCCCAGGGGCAGAATCTTTTACATAGGACAAAACACATTTTAGTTCAGTTAGGCTAAAAGGAGAGTTGAGGCCGTGATCATGAGATAAATTGTCAATAGATTTGAATAAATGTGTATTATCCGGGGAAACAAAAGGGGGAGCTAATTTATCGAGGAATTTATCAGCCACTTCCTCATTTATGAACTTCTGAGCTGGTTCTCTGAACGCCGATCTAAATCTTCGAATATTAGTCCAAATAGCAGATGGGGAAATATCAGGGGCCAAAGAAGAACAAAACGCCTTCCAACCATCTCATTTTTTTTTTCTTTAGTAGTTTACGAGTTTCATTTATTATTTACGAAAGTTTGTCAAAATTGTCATTTGTACTGTTATTATAATAATTTTTTGACGTGACAACGTCTTAAATTAGGTTGCGGCTGGGAGTCACTTATGAAAAAGTGTAACGCTCGGTAACGTTACGATGAGTCTCTCGTGTTAAGTTTAAGTTTACATGTACAATGTTTTAGTAAACAAAATATATTTCTATAGTTAAAATTTGTGCAATTCTTATTTTCATTCAATTCCTTGTTCCTATTGTGCAATTTAATTATATTCATATCAATAAATATTCTACCGAGAAAAAGACGTTGTCACGTAAAATCTTCGCCCGTAAAACCGACTTTACAGGCAACCATTTTTTCAGCTACTTTTCTACGCTTTATTGCTGCTGTGCATTCAGAATCCCACCAAGGCGGTGAGGGAATATTTCTATTAGATTGTTTACGCAGAAAGGTCGAATCAGCAGCCTCTATTAGAACCAACGCAAACGTATCTGCGCACATTGTTTGATCATTAAGCTGAACGGCGGGAAGAGATGATACTTTTTGCGCAACTAGCTCCCTAAACTTCTCCCAGCTGTCACTGTCATTGTTAATTCTATGTTTCAGTCTAGGTGAACGTATAGGACGCGATTTTAAAACTGTTTTAGGGAATGATATTAATATGGGGAAGTGGTCACTGCCGAAAGTGGAGGAAAGCGTGCTCCATGAAAAGAAAGAAGCTAAATTGGGGGTGGAGATAGTTAAATCCGGGGCGCTTATGCCTTCATTAGGCTGTGTGCGTCTAGTCGGATCGCCAGAGTTCAAAATACAAAAGTTATTTTCATCTACAATATCTAAAATTCTAGCGCCGTAATAGCTTGAGCTAGAACTACCCCAAGATCGATGTTGAGCGTTAAAATCACCCATTATCAAAATAGGTTTAGGTAATCGCGATAGAATAGCTGCTACTTCATCATATATAGAGGATGACGGATGAGGAATGTATATTGACAGAAAGCATTTATTTTGAACGGATGCAGCTATTATTGAGAAGTCAGTACTATGGTTAGTAATTGGAATATGCTGGAAAGGAACAGTGTCACTTATTAATAAAGCAACACTACCATAGCTATCAGTTCTATCTTCTCTTAAACAAAAATAATTAGAAATATTATAGTTAGTGTTGGGTTGGAGCCATGTTTCTTGTAGTGCCATAATAATTGGTTTGTATATGTTAATAATATACAGTAAGTCTGATTTTTTATTCCTTATGCTGCGGCAATTCCACTGAAGGATTGTGGACTGAAGATCCATTATTGGTATCATTATTATTAATTAAATTATTCATATTTGAAATAGCAGCGTTGGACGGTTCTAAATAATTATTTTGTTGAGACAGTGACTTAATTAAAACAATAATTAAATCTTTTATTGACAAAGTAGATAAAGGATTATTTTTCAAGGTGCCAATTGATGGTAAAGGGATATCATAGTTCTGAGTTAATGCAGCATGGGCTACCTTATCATACCCTATGCTGTCCTTTTTGGGTGGATTTGATTTCACAAAGTATGTCTTTTTATAGGAAGATTTGTTTACATTATTATAATTTGTATGTTTTTGTTTTGTAGGAGACAATGGAGTTAATGTGGAAGATAACACTTCAGAATAGGATTTCATAACTGGAGGATGTAATTTAAATGCTTCAGCATATGAAACACAATTTTTCGCCATGGTCTCTTTTATAGATTTCTGTCTTGCAAACTCTGGGCATTTTCTATTTGTTGCATAGTGAGAACCAGAACACAAGCAACACACAACATCATCATCATCAATATTACAGCTCTCACCAGCGTGGCTATTGCCACACTTGAAACATCTTGGAACAGATCTACACTGATTCTTAATATGACCATAGCGACAACAATTAAAGCACTGTACAGTAGGGAAAATATACAAATCAACAGGTAAAGCATTGAAGCAAAGAAAAACTCTTTTAGGTAAAACCTGGCCATCAAAAGTAAGCACCACAGTCTCCACTGGAGAGAATGTTGCTTTGCCGTCTACAATATGTTTCCTATTTATTCTCCTAACTTTGAGTATGTTTCCACACCCAAAAGGAACAGTAATATTTTCCATTATTTCTGCTTCAGACCAGTCAGTGGGAACACCTCTTACAACTCCCATACGAGTAATATTAAAACTAGGAATAAATGCTTTGTAGTTATGCTGTTTCAAAGCTTGATTGTCAATGAAAGCATTTGCATCTTCAAAATGAGTAAATGACAAAAGTAACCGATTCCTTCCAATTTTTTTAAGGCTTCCATTGACAATATTTTTAATGTTGTTCTTTTTGAGGAAATGGCCAAACGAAATGGGGTGAATAGAGGTATTATCTCTGGCACTGGTCTGTTCCCTCTGAATATGTATAATATACGGGGCGGCATCTGATGCCTGATACAGGTTTCTACTTACTTGGCTAGGAGAGGAATTTGAATTATTTACATTTATTATTTCTTGTGATACTGGAGCAGTAGGAATTTTGGGAGATTTAAATTTAGTGGGGAGGTTTTCTTCAAAATGACTATTATCGTCAATACACTGACAATCTTTTTCATTAAAAGCCACTGAGGTGGATTTGTAATGCCTTCTCTTTTTGTTGCAATGCTTACAAATTCGGGATGAGACTCGTTTACGTTTGTTGTTATGAAAGTTGTTATCAGAAG